GAGAGAGAGAGAGAGAGAGAGAGAGAGAGAGAGAGAGACGGAGTTTTTCCTTAAAAAGAGGCTTTTATGTCAGGATGCAGGGTGGCACCAAGGGGTGGGATTTCAAGGGGTGGATCAGAATATTAACAGCAGAGACTGGAGTCCCCAGGTTCCTGTGGACCCCACATGATGAATTGTACAGGGACACATGGGGAGTTACAGGAAAAGAGGCAGTTTATTAAAAGACAGATGCCCGTGAGCGTGGCCATGCTTTTCTTTTTCCTTTTTCCTTTTTCTTTTTTCTTTTTCTTTTTTTTTCAAGACAGGGTTTCTCTGTGTAGCTTTGCACCTTTCCTGGAACTCACTCTGTAGACCAGGCTGGCCTCGAACTCAACAGAGATCCGCCTGGCTCTGCCTCCCCAGTGTTGGGATTAAAGGCGTGCGCCACCGCCGCCCAGCTGGCCATGCTTTTCTTGCGGACTGGAAAAATGGAGGGTGGTACAGAATCCCCGAGTGCCTCAGACTGCCGGCTTCCTATGTGAAGCCCAGATGGGGAAAGGCTCCCAGGCTTCCCTGGAAACCTACCCGAGGGTGCTCCATTGCCATTTGAAGCCCAGGTGGAGAAGGCTGTACCCTGAGGCTGCCTTTCATGAATTTTCTCCTCTACCTAGTTCCCTAGTCTCCGACTTCCCAGGAGCCCCCACAGGCTGGTCTGCGTCTCCTGTCCCACCTCACCAACTCAAGAGACAAGTGATGGAGAAAATTATTTGAAGGGACCATATAGTCCAGCGACCCCCAGTCCTACTACAGCGGGGGTGGAGGGGGGGGTGCGGTGGTGGGGGGAAGAAGGGGCATGATTAAGCAGTCCTGGTCAAGGCTCGCTCCTGTTGATTGGGGCTGAATCATCTCCTCTCTCGCCTGGCCCCTTCAGTCAGGGCCATTCCCTTCTGTGACCCACGAGGTTTTCATCCTCGACTACTTTCTGGGGCAACTGGGAAAACACTGCAGTGTTTAAAGGCCCTGCCCACACAGATAAACATAAAATAAAACAAATTTTCAAAAGCTGATGCTACCCCTAAATTATGTTATCCATCTGAATAATGAACTCGGGAGAGTCTCTCGGGGTGGTGCTAGAAGCCCCTGAGAAGCAATGGGTACTGGTGGGATCTGGGTCTCTCTCTCTCTCTCTCTCTCTCTCTCTCTCTCTCTCTCTCTCTCTCTCTCTCTCTCTCTCTCGGCAGGACTTAAAACTAACTGGCTTTCAACAACTCCAGTGAAATCTCAAGGCTTAGTCACGGGAAGCAGTGAGAAGCTAGCTGCTTTTCTCTCGGAAGCAGGAAGGTGTGTGAGGAATAAATCAGCCAATGCCTGCATTTGCATTTGAAAAGGAGAGAAACATATTTGAAAAGGAGAGAAACATGTGTGATTAATAAAAGACTCATCAGGCATGGTGGATCCTTCTGCTTACCTTTATTTTCCCAGTTTTCTTTCTCTGCCTTTTAAAACATGTTTTCTCCTACCAAGTGAACACCCCAGAGCGGTGAAATTCTGACAGGTCCTCTTTACAAAAACATCCAGCACAAAACCGGAGAGAAGCTTTGGCAGCTCCAGCTTAAACTGGGCTGGAAAGAGTTTGTGGCTCGATCTTCTTAGAGGTCAGTCTGAGAAGTTGCCTCTGGCATTAGGGAACAAATGTAAATTAACTGATTTTTTTTTTTTTTTTTTGAAGAGGAGAAGTGTAAAGAACCTGCGTGTGGAAACTTACAATACTGAGTTCTGTTTCAGAAGAACACACCCGTGTTTTACATTTTAAGTCCCCCCCCCCGCCAACACTGAAGTTTTAAAAGATCATTTTCCAGAAAATACGGTAGATAATTGCCTTTCTCCATTTGTGACAAGTTAAAAGTGACTGCACAGAACCTTAAATATTATCGCTGTCGAAGAAGGATGTTTGGAAGAGAGCGCAGTATAAATCAGAATGATATTTTTAGTTAAAATAAGTTAGAGTCTTCCTTTCTTCTCGTATACAAAATAAAAGTGTGGATTGGAGATCCGTCTGACCTAGATGCTCCCCCGCACACATCTGGAAGAAACCACCTTGCTTTTTTTTGTAACTCAATTTCTGTCCAAATTGTACCCGAAAGCAGGCTGGCATTATGCTGTTTATTAGCAACACAAAGAACGTTCCTCGCAGAGCAGGCCGGCCCTTGAAGTGCAGCGTCTCGGCGAGGGGCTGGGGCCTTACCGTTCCAGGGGAGAGTTGAATACTAATCACTCATTCTCTCCGGGACCGGGCTCCAGGCCTGATTACCCTGCTCAGGAGCCCTGGGCCGGGGCTGGCTGGCTTCTCGTCTTTTAAAACAGAGCACAGTATAGTTTTTGTGTTTTCAGGGGAAGAAGGACATGTTGCTGTCGAACACGCAAAAAGCTGCACTAATTAATTCAGGGGTTTTCATGGCTCTGCCCAGACAAATTGCTTTAAGAAAAAAAAATCAAAAAACAAACTACTCTTCCCAAATACATGAATACAAACACACGAGTTGCTAGTTGAAGTCCAAATATATGGAAGAGGAAGCTTCGACAAGCAAACGTGTGCCTTGTGGCCGCCCGTCCTTCCCGAAGTCTGTGCGGAACAGGTGCTGCCCCTGTTCCTCCACTTTCAGACCCGAGGCTGCCTGGCTGCCCTGAACTTCCTAAGGGCTAAGGCAGGGCCAGCCCAGGGACTCTGCCTGCTCACACCTTGCAGAGCCAGCCCCGGCAGGAAGGGCTGCCCTGCTTAGCTGTGACAGCGCCCTCTAAAGCTGGGTGGGTCTTTCATGAACGGAGTTTCATATGCTCATAGAAGAGTATTTTATTACAAGTCAAAAGAGTCTGTGGAACAAATGAAGGCCCCAGCTGGACAGTATGCACATCCGATTGTGAGATACACGCCCTTTCAATCCACCTCCTCCTTAATGCCAAGCAGGCCTGAGCGCAGCCGGCTCAGTGAAGAGAATTTTCCTTTCCGGCCAAAGGCAAGCCGTAACACCAAAACACTTACTTCTCCGATAAACACAGGCAAGCACCCGCATTCCCTGCTAGGGGTGGCTCTGCCACCAGCCCCATTGTCCTCATTTGCAAAGCGTTCGGGCCTGGAGGGGCTGGAGCAGGGTGGAGGTGTTCGATGATGTCAGAATATCCGCCGCTGAAGAATGTCAACTCTCCCGCGGGCTGGGCCGGCGGGTGGCCCAGCGCGGGGCGGCCACTGGTGCTTTCTAACTCCGCCCCGCATTCTTCTGGTCCGGTTCCCACCGACAGACAGGGCGAGGGAGGTCAGAGTGGCCGGGACAAAAGAGACCCCCTGCTGCCGGGCTTGGCTGGGCTGTCAGCACCGCTAATTCAAGAGTTCACCTTTCATCTTCTGGATCCATTAGGGGTTAAAGAGAGACCCATTTTACAGCTGACAGGCTTGAAGGGGCGGAGGAGGGGGAGGGACGCGAAGCACCCTAAAATTTATAGCGTTCAAGCCATCTGCTAAAAATAGACCCGTACAGGTTCTCTTTTCATCCATCCCCATATAATGGGATATGTATCTGAGACAGCATAATAAACAGGCAATTCTTGGTCTAGGGATATTTTCATATTGTGTGGTGAGAGGAGAGGAAGGAGGGAGGAAACCCGGGGGAATGAATGCAAAACAGTGTCTCTAGCTCCTCAGAGGGCGAGCCGGGGTTCAGCAGCTCACCTGCAAGCCTTCATCAGCCCCGTGGTCGCGGCGAACCCCGCGGCTTTACCATCCAGTGTGGGAAAAGATCTGTCTGGTGACAGTGGACCAGTCTCCATGAGTGCATGCGTGAGACATGCGTGTTTGTCGGCAGTGCTGGTGGGAGAGAGCCCGGAACCAGAGAAAGAAGCAAGACGGCTGGGTTAAGGAGTCTTCATGTGTAGCACGGGTTTCCCCAGTGGCTCCCAATCTGTCTTTTTCTGAAACCAGTAAATGATGTAAAATGAATTAATTTAAAGTGTTTTAACTGATGATGGACAATGTGTCTCCCCAAATAATTCAGTCTAATTTCCTTTTAATCAGTATGACCATCACCTTCTGTAAAGAAGGATTTCTAACTACACTTAGGCAGTATTGAAAAGGAGATTGGGAAGCAGGTTTTTCTCCCTGTGAAGTGATATTCAAAAATCACAGGGTGCCCACGACTTACACGTAGCTTCTGTGTGCATGTGTTCTCTGCATGTGCCTACACGTGCTCTGTCTGTGTGCATGCCTCTGCATCTGTGTGTGCTTGTGTGTGAGTTGTGGATGTGTGAACTTGTGCCTGGGAGTGTTTATATATAAGTATGTGGGTGTTGTGTATATACATATGAGGCTTTGTGTACACGTGTGTGTGCAAATACACATGAGGCCCTTGTGAGGGTGTAGTTGTGCATGTGTAGCTTTGTATACATGTGGTGCCTTGTGGGTAAACATATCTGTTTACCTTCATGTGTGCACGCATGTGCATGTGCTTATGTGTGCTGGAATGGGCAATTCTGCCCAGGGCAGTGTGAAAGGCATAGATACACACTTGGCTTTACAGTGAGTGTGGGGTGCTATTGGAAGATCTACCTTCTGGGTGCTCTGAGCTGGTATGAGCAAGCCAAAGAAAACAGCCCAGGGGCTGGGGAGATGCCTCAGTCAGGAAAGGTGAGGCCATGAGGACCTGAGCTTGATTCCCAAGACCCACATTAGTAAAAACCCAGACAGGGTGAACACTCGTAAGCCCAGCCCCGGGGAGGCAGAGACAGAATCCCTGGGGCTGGATGGGAAAAGAAGGGCTTGGTGAGTTCCAGCCTCGTGGAAGAAAGAAGGTTGAGACCTCGTGAGGAAAGACATTCAACACTGTTCTCTGGTCTCTAGAGGAACACACACATGCACACACAGGCACGTAGAGACCTACCCCTGGAGTCTGGTGTATTGAAATCTCCTTTAAATGATGAGACTTTTTTTCCTAAAGCAGGTTGTACTGTCGGGACTGCTGTCCATCATCCCTTGTCCATCCCGGCTCCACCCCCAGGACCTCTGTTCCCTTTTGCAAATGTTTCTTTCAGCCTGGCCAGTGGCTAATTCTTCAGTTTGCCTGGGCTCTGTGGGTACAGAGGTCCTCACTGGCGCTTCATCGCTTTGGCAGCAAGCGCAGGCTATGGAGCCCCAAAGGCTGGGCCTGTTCCCCATGGGCAGTGTCCTCTCAGACCCAGGATCCTTCCTGGGCCCTTTCCCGGGGGGGGGGGGGCGCTCTGCAAACTCTCCCATCCCAGTAGACTCCATAGCTCATCCAGATCAATTCAGTTGCAGTCTCTTCCGGAAGCCCCGGCGTTTGGGCCTGAGTGACCGTGGGTTTTCCTGTGAGGATGCACACACGTGTTGGAGGTTCTTGGTCAGAAGGGGTTCACAGCAAAGGACTAAAGCAGGGGAGGGAAGAATTCCAGACCAGTGCCCTAGCTGCCACACACAGTCCCCAGGCCCAGCTCTGCCGGCTCTGGCTAGGCAACCCTTCCAGCGGTTCCATTGTCCTGAAGTGGAGGGCGTGGGACGATGCACCTTCCCTGGGCTGCCTCTCCTTTTGTGATCAGGAAGTCCTAGGGGTTGCTTAGGGAGGTTATTTTCAGGGGTGAGTGCCCAGGGCACAGATTTGGGAGCCAGAGAATGGAGGATCAAAGAAACCCCTGCTGTGGGTATCTCCCACATGAGTCTGGGAGTTGAAATCCCACCTCCACTTCCCTCTCTGCCCTGAGTGCTCAGGGCAGCCGAGCACCAGACTGCTGGAGCCTGGGAGCATTGAGCCGCATGCCCACGGAGAAGGCATCAAAGCTGAAGAACTAACTGCCCCCCAGAGCCTCGAAGGCCACACATCCATAGAGATGAAGGGCTGCTCACAGTTTGGGATGGGACAGGCCGGGCTAAGATAGGAAGGTTGAGGGTCCTCAGTGACTGGAGGACTCCCCTGCCCAACCTTCCCATGAGCTGGTGCCCAGTGAATGCCAGTCTACCCTCCCTCTGCCCTTCCGGGAGATTTCTCTTCGCCTTTTAAACACCTGTCTTTTGCTTGTGGTGACAACTGATTTCCTAGCCCGAAGTCAAGAGGGACTCTTGATTTTATAGGTAAAAGGGTATTTGGTTCTAGTACCTCTCTACAGGTGGGTGGGGAAACTGAGGATTAGGGAAATGAAGGGCCTTAACTTCTCAGTCACTGAAAAGAGGGCTCCGGTATCCACAGCTTGCCCCTCCCCCCAAGAGTGCCTCCCGTGAAGAGGGTCAGACAAAAGCCATCAGGAACCTACTACGAATCGGGGAAGTGGTCTCCCCTGCAACCACAGGAAGACATTTAAACTGAGAACACACGGCTCCTTGAACCACGGTGTTACTAAGGAAATATCCCCTGAAACAGAGACGTGGACATGGATATACCCTATCATCTCCAAAGGCGGCTAAGGAGCAGCCAGGTCTCTGCCAGGGTGTCCATGGCCCTCACTCCTAGCCAACCAGGAGCCTCCCAGTTAGAGGGACACCCTTGCCTTTGGAAATACCAGAAGCAGCTGGCTCTCTCTAATGCCATGGTCTCAGTGTGTGTCCCCAAATCTAAGGGCAGGTGTGAGAGTACTAAAAGGCAGAGCCTGTAGGGGAGGTGACTGAGTCCTGAAGCTTCTCTGCTGTCTCCTCAGAGGTTGGTGGACATACCCTCGTCCATCCGCCATCTGAGGGCACAGGGACGGGAAGCGGAGACTGGGCCCTCCGGATGCCACCCCACTGCATTGCTGGTGCCTGTACCTCGGCCTCCCCAGCCGGGATGCTGTGTCACGGTGTTGAAACAGGAGATTCCTCCTCCCTTGTCCTGCCTACCACTGAAAGCTGAGCTGCTCTGTCAGCCTGACTCCAGACTCTCCCGATCCGGAGCTGTGGCCAGTTCATGTTTATAGCCCCCTCAGTTGGACCCTGCAGGGACTCCTGCCGGTCTCTCCAAGGAAGACAATAAGGGTTTCCTAATGCCCTGGGCTCAAGTAGGTCACTGCATGCTTGGATTTCTTTCTCAGGAAATGCTTGAATGCACTTTCTAAAACCTCCTCTCTCTCTCTCTCTCTCTCTCTCTCTCTCTCTCTCTCTCTCTCTCTCTCTCTCCTCCCTCTTCTCCTCTCTGCATCTCTCTATTTTCACATACATGTACAAACCACTGCTGGTGCCTGCAGCCATTGGACCCGAACAGGCCTGATAGCCCAGTGGCCCCCGAGTGACATTGGAGGGGGGGAGGGGTTAGGGCCTCTGAACAACCAGCTGTGGTCTCCACCACCAGCTAGGGCTGACCAGGTGAGGGCTTCCTCTCTCGGAGAACTTGCAGCCTGGAGTCGGCAGTGAGAGTGTTGGAACTTACCTCCTCAGGGTACGTCGTTGTATTTTGCTGTGCTCCAGGATCGCGAGCCAGGCAGTCTCAGAGCAAACTGTTCAGTTTATTGACATTTCCTTCATCACCTCCCTGACAGGAAAAAGACGACTTGATTCCCATCTGTTTCCCTTGCCAAAATAATGAGGACTGTGATGAATGTGTGTATCAACCCCACTCCTCCTTTTTCTGAAGGGGAAGCAAAGCAGGGGAGGGGGGGGGGAGCACCAGTTACCTAAGAATGATGGGGGAGGGGCAACCAGGGAACTCCAGGTCCAGGGAGGGCAGGGGTGGGAGGGGGGAGGAAGGGAAGGAAGGAGAGAAAGAAAGGTGACTAACAGGAAGAGAGGAAAGAGGGGCAGGAGGGAGGGAGACAGGGAGGAAGGGAGGGA